ATGATGATGATGATGATGATGATGGAGTTTCCATTGCGAGGAAAAGGAAAGCTCGCTGCGATTAAATCCTCCTGAGAGCTTTTCCTCAAGGAAATAAAGCAGCTCTAATGCTATCCCTGTGATTCTGATACGGGATGTCCCGCGGAATAACGCTGCCCAAACTTCACTTTACTGCCCCGACGGAGAACAAAAGCCCGAGATGAGAAAGCTCCCGCCCTCCTGTCCTGCCATTGGCTGTCTGTGCCTGACCCCGCCCCTCTCTGGCTCCCAGTTCTATTGTAAAGTCATCGACTCGGGTGCTGATTGGATGAAGCGGATGTCAATCATCGCGTAGGCTGAATATTATAACAGAGCTGCGCTCCAGGTATTGAATGCACCGTTATGTGCCCAGAATAACAGCAGCCGCTCATTTACATGCATGCCTCCTTTTTCCACTCATCATAAGTGCGATCAGAAAAATTAATTCAAATGCAAAACACGATAATTTTTCCAACTCTACTGGCAGATATCTGTCACTTAATTTTAATAAGTTTTTACAGAAAACAAGACTTTATATCTCATCCTGTATCATTGGTTAAATGAATCTGAGAAAGAAAATATTGATGTGTTTATGTAACTGCAGTGTGTCTGAAGTTTCTCATGCTCTGTAGGGAAGTGTCTTGAGTTTTATTACTTTATTAACAATTTCAGATGCAACAGTTTATCACTGAAAGCTTATATGCATATTAATAAGTGCGTAGCGCCATCTAGCGGTCATAGTATAAAGTACTTCTATAATAAAAATAGCTTTATTGGTTAATTAAATAAGCTTTCCTCTTCACATGCCCCATTTTTCAGGAGAGCAGACGCTGATGTGTGTGTGCATCGGTTGGTCAGACAGGCTTCAGTAAAGCTGATTATCTGCAGTCTCTCAGCCTCCTAACACTAATCTCTGTGTGTTCAGTCCCCTATCCTTGTTCTGTGTGTGCTGATCTTTTAATTGGGCCCGATGCACTGATGTTTGTTCTGCTGGGTCTGATGAGGCTAATTTGAGCACATTAATGCAGCATTGATGCTCCACTGACCTACTTCAGGAACAAACGAGTACACAAGAGCCTCCGGAAGACTACTTTTAATTGATCGCTTTGGGAAGAACTAACCACTCATGCAAACACGCTGAAAGAAATGCCCTTCTGTCTTTCTATCCGGGGCTAGTTGTCACATACGTTTTCTATGTTGGTTTCAAACATCTAGTTCAAAACTGTGATATATTAAATTCATTTTGGTCTGTCGTCCAACATAAAACAGTAATATAATGTCATAAGGGAACAGAATAATACACATTATAACTGTAACTGAAGGTTGAACTGTGTTTTCAGGTTAATAATTGTCATGTTATGCACAGATGCAGAATTGTATTAAGATGCCGTGTTTTATGCGTTCAGAATCAGAACCAGAAAGAGCTTTAATGTCAAGAGTGCTTACACACACAGGTCTTGGTGACAGAAGCTTCCAGAGCACAGACTGGCTGACAAGCGACGAAACACTGATGACAAAATAAAATAAGTGAGTAAAAATAAATATGTAAAAAACAATACGCAATAGACAAAGAGACAGTAAACAGTATCGTATGTACAGATGTGCTATAGACAAGTTATGCAAAGGAATGTGGATAGATGCAAGATATATTAAATCAGTATTTATGCTATAATCAATTACATTTTTAAAAATCATTTGTGCTGCATAATTGTTAATACTGATTTTGCTGAAAAGCCAGCAATATGATTTTAATGACAGGATCTCATTATGAAAACTGATTTATTTATAATTTATGAAAACTGTTTTAGTTGCTTGTATATTTGTTTTTCATTTACTTATTCATTTCTTTATTTATTCTGAAAACTATATTTATTTATTTAGACAAATTGTTTGAATTTAAATTTATTGATTTATTTATTTATTCTGAAATATTATATAATAATAATAATATGATATTATTA